TAAGAGTAGAGAATATTCGTAGGCTACTAATATTCGATCATAAGTGTCTTCGAAGCATTGCTCGTACGTCCTGGGACCACCGAGAAAATAATGCAGCTGTTAGGAAACGGGTACTAGGTAATGATGGCAAATCGATTGATGAAGTAGTGAAACTTCATCAATTGAGATGGCTGGGACACGTGTTACGTATGGCCAACCACCGACTGCCCCGACGTGTAATGTTTTATGGTGTAGGTTGGAAGAAAGCTAAGGGCGGCCAGACCAAAACGTGGCATAAATCCATGAAGTCATTGGCAAGTGCACTGAGCCATGTTGGTAGGTGTAGACTACCTGGTTGAGATCCTTGAGATGATAGCAACCGATGGTTAGAGACCTTGAATGACATGGTTCAAAATCGTTTGCAATGGCGAAGGTACATCTACTGTTTGTGCTCTACCAAATTCTAATCTTCTGAATCCTTCATGTCTCTATCTTTTTCTCTTTCCAAATTTATTTCACTGTATTATACTCCCTCAATAACATCTCCAAACCCTAATCATTCACATAATGCTTATACTCCAGCTACTTCTACCACTACAACTGCATTTCTGTGTTAATGTGGTATGGGAACTCAAAATGATGTATGTACTTACGAAGTTTTAGGTTGTGAGTGACAGACTGGAATATATTCCAGTTTACGTTTTTATTAGGACTAGTTCAAGGCTGGAATGTTATTAATGATATGCGTCATCTTACTCGCTTTAATAAGTTTCTCTGTTATTATTATTGTTATTGTCATTAACGTTTCATCCGTTTGGTTGTTCAGTAACTAGAACTCATGCATTATGGTATCATTTCCACGTAGCTTTGATGAGCTCATTTATTGACGTCAACTTGGTTATTTATTACTCTCATGACTAATTAGTGTTTCTTTTCATCAGTCTATCTTATAGGATCAGCACCAAAAAGTGTTTTTAGTATACGAAAAACTATATTTATTTATTTAAACACATAAATATTGGTACAACGAAGCACCAGACACATATGCGCCGCAAAAATCTCATTCGATTTGTGTGAGGGCTGTGATACTGCCCTGGTGCCCAAACTGAAGCAGGTGGTTTTCTTAGGGGGCCACATTCGTAGCCTTTGACCTAAAGATCTGATCCACAAGGCAGTGGAGCATCGTGAGGAAATGCAGTCCCGTGGTAGCCGGTGACCAACGATTAATTCATACGCCATTTGTACCCTCAGGATACTGGAGCCCATGTGCGTCATTGGTTTGGAATGAGGGTTTTGTTAGAGCGCCGGACATTCGCTTTTCATCTTCTCAATTTTGTAAACAACAGTAACGCCATGAGAAGGCAATGAGTAGAATTTCCGTGTCAGAGGCTATATACGCCTGGTCATGTGAGTGCATTTCGAGAGGGAAAGCAGACTCTCCCTATTCCCGGCCGTACTAGGGAATTTGGGGGCCCGAAAACTATATTTAGTGATTCATTAAACTCTCCCTTAACATTTCTAAACTTTCTGTGAATGTATGGAAGCCAAGTAGTTAATACACCTGAAATATAAACAAAGTAGATACGTATGTACCTCCGACAGACTGAGTCAAATCATGTACGGCGATTAACCATAAATAATCACACGTGTTAGTGGGATATAGATTGGATTAAGCATGTTGGTGGTGTGATGGTGTTGCTGCGCGCTGATTGGTTAATTTTAAACCGATCAGCCCGGGCATATTATTGCAGAAAAATCTATAAGCTTCTTATGTATATACTATAAATATATATGAGCGAATGTCCGGCGCTATAACCGGATTGGTGGACACGGAGGGTCCACCTAGGGGAGTTGGAAAACCCTGATTCCAAACCAATGGTGCACATGGACTCCAGTATCGTGATGGAACGAATGGCGGAAGAACCTGTCATTGGTCAACGGCTACCATGGGACTGCATCTCCTCACGATGCTCCACTACCTTGTCGATTAGACCTTTAGGTCAAAGGCTCCAGGTGTGGTCCCCTGATAAAACCACCTGCTTCGGTTTGGGCACCTGGGCAGGATCACAGCCCACACACAAATGAATGAAATGATGAACTCTATTGACGATTCTATTCCTGCTCATACTAAAAGCAAGACAATTTACATTATTATTATTACTATTATTACCTTTATTATTATTATTTACCATATCGCTAACTCACCCCCTTTTATCCCCAATTTGTGTAACCTTACTTTTCAACTTATGCAGCAGCTCATCCATGGTGGAAATTCTGTCCTATCTAAACGATCTCCAGTCACTGTCTGGTTGAAAGTGAATGCTTCCACCGATTATGAATACTGAAGCAGTCTTTCTGAAACCACGTACGCCGTTCAAGCTGGCTTCCTTCAACGTTCGCACACTAATGCATATCAGAAAACAGATGGGGCTGGCTATGTCTTTAGAAAGTCTTAATGTTGATGTTTGCTGGCTATCCGAGACCCGTATTCAAGACTCTAGTGAAGTACTACAAATCCGCTCTCCATCTGTCGCCTCGAAAAGCTTGTTCCACGTGCGCTTATCCGGGGACCCTGTGGCATCTTCGTCTGGTCTTGCTGGTGTTGGTGTTGCACTAAGCGCTAGGGCTGAGGCAGCACTAATCGATTGGATCCCCATTAACAGTCGGTTATGTGCTGTTAGATTAGACAGTTCCATCAAAGTGAGAAGAAATCGGCGTGAGAAACGGTGTCTTTTCGTCATCTCCGCCTATGCCCCGACAGATTGCAGCCCGGATGCAATCAAGGATGAGTTTTACCATCAGTTAACAGTTCTTCTCCAGAAAGCGCGTTCGACAGATATTGTAGTACTAGCCGGAGACTTGAATGCACAGGTCGGGCGTCTAGGCACAGAAGAGAGTCGTCCAGGTGGCGGATGGGGACTTGTTGGTCGCAGGACGGATAACGGGGACCGTTTGCTGCAACTGTGCACAGACCACAACCTGTTTCTGGCCAGCACTAACTTCCGGCACAGTCATCACCGGTGTGCCTCCTGGCGTCCTCCCTCTGCATCCCAAGCCTGGACTCAGATTGATCACATCGCGATCAGCTACCGCTGGCGTGGTTGTGTACAAGACTGCCGCTCCTTTTGGAGTACCTATCTGGAGTCTGATCATGCCCTGGTCTGCGCCAATCTCACCTTACTTTTCAGTGGCCGAAGGATTGACCACCACCAACGGATTGATGTTAGTAAACTGGCTGCAACTTCTGTTGCAAGTAAGTATCGAGCGGAGCTAGCCTCTAGGCTAGCTACCACCCCACCGAAAAGTATAGATGAGCATTGGTTGCATCTTCACGACGCCATGAAAATGGCGAGTAAAGCCGCTTGCGGCTTCGCGAAACGTCCCGCTTACAAGCACTGGGTTTCTTCTGGCTCCTTACAACTGATGGAAGCCCGTCGGTCTACTCCGGGTGACCGTGAGTTTGACCACAAACGAAGGCTGTTACGTAGTGAAATCGGGCAAAGCTTGTGTAAGGACCGGGAAGCCTGGTGGTCGGAGCGTGCTAATGAGATGGAAGCAGCAGTCCGCCTTATCTTTTCATCCCTTCTCTTCCTACTTTCATTATTTTGTGTGGCGCATATGTACCTGGTGCCCTTTTGTACCAATATATATATGTTTAAATAAGTAAATAATAAACTATTGATTGCTGTTCACTTATTATTATTATTTTGAGTACAATTTCATTCCTGTTCGACGTGTTCTGATTTTGGAATCTTGTCGAGTGTCATCGTATAAGAATACTAAGCAATAGGAATAGCTGGGTCGTTTATATGGCAAAACACAATTATAACAACACGGAAACTAAATAGAGAGTGAAAACCTCAGGATATAACTTGGTTCAATAGCCAGTGTCTAAATGAGCTGATGTTATACCTTAGTCCGGCTGTCTCAACCTACTACACCAGTCAACATTCGACGTTGCGGCAAGAGGTGACTTGATATGTGTAAGCGACTAGTGTGACGTTATGAAATGTATCATTTGGCTGCTAAGAGGATGAAAATTTGGGACAGACAACTCGGCCGCATGAATTCGTTAAATGAAATGAACTAGTGTTGGATTGCACGGTACAGTTTCTGACCTCTGAGTTTACGCTAGTGTTTACAAATAATTAGTTACTGAGTAGTGACCAATGTCAAGCTCTTCTTAGAGCTCATCGCATTACACCAACCGAATTGAAATATGGACGCCGATGACTAGACTTCGCGTGCACCGCGTTGAGGTTTAAAGTGGTTATTGAATAACGTCGTCACGAAAATGAGTGATACATGATTAGATCTGCCAGAAGGCATCAGTTCTCTCAAGATTACGGCTACACCTTGCTGACAAGAGCCAAGTAGCACGAGTCCTAGGTCTGAAGTATCCTGTCGTCTAACTTCAAATACCACCTTACAACAAAGGTACCCAGGAAAATTAATTTACGTCCGCTTACGAAGTTAATGTAAACCAACAGTCAACAAACTCACTGTGTAACATGTTCAGAAATGTGTTTGATGAATGTTTTGCTTTTCTGTAAAAGCGTAAATGTAAATACCAAATAAATTACAGACGGGTAGCTTTATTACTCAGAGATGCTTTGAAAGCAATAAAAAATATCAAATTATCTATCCACAACAGTAATCTGGCCACCAAGAAATGTTTGGCGTAAAACATGGCTCAAGTTGAAGGCTTTAAATAAGCCTTTTCTAAACTCGGCAAATAACAAATACCCCGATTGCGTGGTTTACAGGATGCTCGAATAACGAATCAACCATAAAGGTCTAAATGCCGCACTCAGTTTGATATTAGGACATCCTTCGTCCATTAGTCGTCGTAATACACCGTAAAATATGCTTAGAAAATTGTCAAAGACTAATACATTACTGACACCCTGACCAACCGTGACTATGCAAACATGAAAAGAGTGAGGCTAAGAATACGTAGTCCACCATGTTTAGAAAAAGTACCCTTAATTATTTGGAGTTCATCAACTTTTATAACATACTTGTATAATGACGTTATATACTCCCAAATGCAATGGCCGAAGACGGAGAGTTACATCTTATAGACCGCGCCATTGATATGTAGACTAACAAAGAACAATAATTTTCAATATGACGTTACATTTCGAGCTATACACAACAACAGAAATTTCTACAATATAAAAAGTAATATCAATGCATACAATGTTGTTTTTATGTTTCATAGTCTATAAATATTGGAAAAAATTTTAGGTTTTGAACGTTACATGCTTTTTCAGCTCACTTATGTCATCCATTCCATATTGATCTGTTTGGAATGCTTGACGATAGAATGTAGTAAATTGCATATTAACAGGCTCTTAAATCCTTCAATTGTGAGCTTTCTCATCCAAGCACATCTTAGTACATTTAAAAAAGATGGAAAACAAAGTATTTCATTGTAAGAAGGTTTTCTGGGTAACCTAAGAAACATGTGGACTCACTACAACAATTTCATCTTTACTAAGGATTGCAAATTATGTCTCATCATTTGAAGATATCGGTTTGCACGGATAATCACCTTCAATTTGATATGTAAACCAAAATTGTGTGTTTCAAACCGACTTTATGACATTTGTATGAGCTTCGTATGCAGTTTCATGTATTTTTCGGTCTTTGGTCCTGAGACCACATCTAATCTCGTTGTTTATCATCACACACTTTTAATGACTTAATTATTTCCAGAGTGGATCCTAGAACCGTGGGTTAGAACTGGAGTCTCTTTTAGTCTACGAATTCATTGTAATTCCTTCTGCTCAATCTATTCTTGCTGATAATGGCTGCCTGTATTAGAAGATTTGTTAGTTTCTCAACATGAGTGAACAATATCACACTGATGCTCTCTATCTCAGAAAGCTTCTATCTAACTTTACACTAATGTGTAGAATACAAAATAATTATTTAATCATATTCAATGAAATGCTTTGCCACCCTTTATTAACAAGGAATGACACAAGTGAACTCGCAGGCCAGTAATTTCTACTGGTTATGACTGTACGACATGATACATTTATAAATCCTGAGTTCGACTAAATTATAGTATATCAAAAACATGCCTGACAATCCGTGACAGTTGTTGCTATGCTTTTGCTCAACCTGCCTTTTCCCATCAAATGTGGCATTTCAACCAAGTTAGGTAGTTATAACATAAGGCAACCGAGGCTTCAGTTATTATATCAATACGCACGTTTTGTCTTTGGAATAAGTGTGTTTGTTATCTTGAAATATTCACACCGCTCAAACTACTTAAATATTGATTCACCCTTCACCAACAGATTTCAGCTAAGAATATGATTTTTATGTTCACTGTCCCTCGCTGTCTATTTTCAGCGTATGTGTATTTATGAAACATAAACATCCCGAATACTCTTGAAAAACGTTTTCGTTATTAACGGGAGTGGCTTACAGAACACTTGTTGTCTAAATAATGATCAATATTCCGTCCGGAAGATATTCTGAGAAATGAGTCAGATTATACTTAAGCCATGACTGGATGTGACAACACCAAGTGTTCGACGATGACTTCCAGAGAAGATAAAAATGAAAGGTGATGATGGCTTCTGGGAAAACTTTTGTTAATTGCATCAAGATCCAGGAGAACACTAGACTTCTAAACTGGAAATCTGAAAAATGATATTTTCACATTGGTTCCTATTGTGGTTTGCTTGATAGAGAGCTTTTAGCTAACCACGTAACTAGTAATTAGAATTATTTCACTCTTGTTGTTTAAGGTATGGGGGCACGCTGTGGAAAGGTTCTTCTACAGATACCTGAATAGGGGATTGGGTTAGAAGTGGTCTTAATGACCTGAGAGCGTGACCGCAGTGCCCAAAGGACAACTGCTTGAGGTCGGTCACACACGACCTTTTTGTGGGTAATTTTAGTGTTAGCTTCGCACTTGTTGGGACCATACCGTTGAAGACGGATATCCGTGGGATAAGGCTAGGTGTGCATTTTTAGGGTCGACCTTTTCTAACCCCACCCCTCCTTGTGGGAAGGCAGCATCGCTGTCATGCTGGTTGTCTGAAAGAAACACCTTATTGCTATCACACCTCTGTACAGTCAACAGTATGACTTCGCCTTCGGACCTTGGGTTCTCTACTTTTCGTCTTACCGCTCTTCAACCGACCTGTCTGGCATGGTAGGACCTTGAGGAACAATTGTTCCAGCCAGTATAGCTTGATTGGTTCATCACGATAGGCAATCCCGACCACCATGTCAAGGTAGCAGCAACGGTTAGGTGAGGAATATTTACAAATCTATTTTAGAGCGGTACATGCTACCACCGTTCGCCCTTCCATTTAGTTAAAAAGTTAGAACTCTTAAAAGTCGCAATTGGAAATCCTAGACCCACTTAATTTTTCAAATGTTTTGAGGACCACGCGGTTCTGCCGGAAAGTAGTTTTTTGTTTAACCATGCTTTTTACCATTTTGATGCTAACTGCGAATGTAGAATGTATGATCTGTATATTCAACCTTTAACAAGTTGATGACATCTCACCATTTCTATGTAGAAGGCATTTTACTCTGATTCGCACTTCAGTATGAGCTGATGATAAAGGCTATAACTCTGCTATAATTTCTACAGTACTTAACTGAAGTCGGTTTTGAGCAATCTGGACCAACCACTAGCTCGTTTACTAAAATTTGAATATTATGCGTATCTATTTTACGTTCGATAAAGGATTCAACAAGTTGGCTAGAATTAAGCATTCTCTTGTGCTCATTATAATGTTTCCCAAGTCCCTGGTTCACAAGTTGGAAATTAACTTCTTTACTACGGCTTCCCATGCATTGTTTACAGTTTCGTGACCCTGTATTGGTATCAGTTCCTAACCACATGATCTTTGAAGCTGAGCGTATAGTTGGTGAGAAGATTTACAATCAACACGTAAAAAAAGAGCGGGCCAGCAGCCGTGAATACGCAAGGTAGGAATCGGAATGACATGGCTCGGTCATGCAGGCGTGGTCACTATATAACCCATACAACCCATATTATTCTTTACCCAGCCCAAAAGTGTTCTTCAGGATATTTAGATGTCATATTGCCTAGTTTCACGACAGGGCGAGTCAGTGTTGATTATGATGTGGCTTCCACATAATATCTTATAGATTAGGTTGTCATATAATGACAAATATACAATTTTTAGACTAGGTCTATTGTTACAGTGGTACTAATGCCAAACTAGACCATACTCCTGCAACCCCTTATAATGTTGTTGTCAATGTACTGGAAAGTTTACTCAAGAAATATTGTCCTAAATGATATGAACAAAGTTCTGGAAGACAGATTAAGTTTAGGAAGTTTGCTTTAAGAACATTTTAATCGTTTGTTGTGTTTTTGTTACAGGTGTTTGCCACTATATCCGAACTTTCAACTACAGTTTCATTGAATTACGAGTATTTATTAATGTTTCCGACTTCAAACCAAATAACTGGAACACACAAATTTAAAGATCCAATTTGTTAGGTTTTGCCTTCTTATCGTCAAGGCACCAAATGTTGCTCTGTATAGTATTTGTAGCAATATATGTCGTAATAAATCAAAGGCAAGATTCGGACTGAAAGTCTAAGGTCGAAATCATCAAAAAGCATGTTCAAAACCTGAATAGAAGAAATATGCCAAGTATCGTCTAAAAAGAGCATTATGTATAAAAATATTTAATAGTAATCTGAATGCTTTAGGTTTTCTAGGAATATTTAACCAGTAGATTTTCAAAAAAATCTGCTATATATTTCAAGCTAGTTTCCAGGTTGTGAATGGGAAATTATATTCAGACCGTTCAACTTGTTGACCTAAAACTAATCGAATGAGTAAGAACCCGAATAGCATTGTTCCTAAATGCATACTTGTGCAGATGAATCAATTGACATTTATAGTAGTATTAAAAAGAATTTAAATAAAACAAGATTAGGTGGACAAACTGGATTAAAATATTTGTAGCTTTGGATTAGTATCAGGATTAAACTTTTCGTAGTTGCATTGAATTTATATCTACACTGTTAAAATCATCAGCAAATATATTCGGATAAACACAAATTCAGAATTACACTAGACAGATCTTGGATAATTTGAAACATCACATCCACCACAGCTTAAATGGGATTCTAAGTATCTGTAATCGATTGTACGTCTTCTCCCTAAGTTCATCCTATGTCTGTTCGACAGTGTATTGGATTTAGACTCGATATTATCTAGAATATATTCATTAGTATTAGAATTAACAACCGACAATGGAACAAACCCACCTGGGTCCTAGAAATGTATTTGATTAACATGTAGATTGTGCATACTCAAGTCAGTGATGTCTTGAATTCGCACCATAGATTTTCCAACACTCTTAACCACAATCTCCGTGGCTGGTCGAAGATCATTTTCATGATATGTAACTACTGCAGACTACAAACACCTCATATTAGAACGGAAAGTTCTTATTTTTAATAGCTTTGGTAAACTCTTTCATCAAAGAATGTTTAGCATTTTTAAATTGCAGTCAAAGTGTACCTACTTCTCTCGTCAGTTCATTAAATGTTGAAGCAGCAATGGAGTCATTAGATCTTTGAAATGTCCTGACAAAATTTTCTGCCTGACAATTAGAACAATGGTGCCTGGGAGCAGTAAACAGATGTCTGCACCCTATACCATTAATCCAGGTAGTGATTGCATCCTCAGCAAAATGAGAGTCGTTATCAGTCACTAACACCATGAGAACCACTTCTCGACTGAACACCTTTCTTAATGATTGAATTGTGAAGTCAGAATATGGGGAATTTGTGAAAAAAAACACCAGCCACTTCGAAAAAAGATAAACGACTACAAGTGTATGGTACTGCCACGAAATTGGCCACATTAATTACTTACATACTCCTGTTATCCCTCGTGGAGGAGCATAAGCCGCTCACCTGCACTTTCAACTTATAACATTTCCTACAATTGTTTGCTGGACGATATATATTTGAATTTATCTCTGGCCACCAACATGTGAGCCTTGCCAAGGATTTCATTTTTTCAACACCTAAATGTTCATTATGAAGATCTTCAAGGATAGATTCACGTAATGAATGAGGAAT